AAAAAAAAAAAAAAAAAAAAAAAACTGTTATTTTCTTTTTTTATTTCCTAACACTTAGAAGTCATCAACATATCAAGAACTAATTTTCACATTATTTGCATATAATGATTTTAAAAAAATGATGTGGCAGAGACTGCTATTCATTCTCCTAATATCCATTCTCTTTCCACCAAGAGAACACCAAATTTCAGCAGAACATGGCAGTCTGAAATAGATAACTTCCCAGCCTCCCTTGCAGCTAGATGTGACATGACCAGGTTCTGGCCAATAGGATGTAAGTAGAAGTTTCCTATGGCAGCTTCCAAAAATCATCTTTAGATCACTAGCACTTGCCTTTTGCTCCCTTTTTCTTTGTCTTTCCTCCAGTAGAATACAGATGTGAGAGTTCGAGATGTGGCCACCCAACCTGGCCTAGGAAAATGAGGGCCAATATCTTGGGTATGGCAGAATGGTGAACTTTCCTAGATTCCCAAAAGCATCAAGAAAAAGAAGACTCCCAACAGTCCTGGAATTTTTATCTCTGGGATTTCATGGGAAGAAAGAAATAAACTTTTACCTTTTGCCATTAGTATTTTGGGTTTTTCCAAAGTATCACCTTTCTTATAAAGGAAGAAGGCAGACTCATAAATGGCAGGGTTTTTTTTTGTTTTTTTTTTTTTGTTGAGACGGAGTCTCGCTCTGTCACCCAGGCTGGAGTGCAGTGGCCGGATCTCAGCTCACTGCAAGCTCCGCCTCCCGGGTCTACGCCATTCTCCTGCCTCAGCCTCCCAAGTAGCTGGGACTACAGGCGCCCGCCACCTCACCCGGCTAGTTTTTTTTGTATTTTTTTAGTAGAGACGGGGTTTCACTGTGTTTGCCAGGATGGTTTCGATCTCCTGACCTCGTGATCCGCCCGTCTCGGCCTCCCAAAGTCCTGGGATTACAGGCTTGAGCCACCGCGCCCGGCCAAATGGCAGGTTTTCAAAGACATATACTGTGGAGCCACAACTCTCTGAAGAGAACAGCAGAATATTATCTCTTTATAAGTAACTACTGTCTCTGAGGACAAATGCAGCTGCTCCATATTAGGAGTCAGAGAACGCAAGTTCAAGTTATACAACTCTGACATTAAACAGCAAACCAGTTAACTTCTCTATGTGGCTTTATTCATTAAATTGGGATAGCACTACCTACGTAATAAAATTCTCTTGAGATTTAAAATATAACATATACAAAAGTATCCTACAGTATAAGTCACTATACACATAGTAGTTGATAAGAATAATTATAACTCTGGATAAAAGCTCTATCGCATTTACACTGTAACCCCAGTAACAAGTGCTCTAAATATTTGTTAGATAAATGTTTTTAAGTCTTTGCGAAATGAGTGAATTATTCTGCTTTGGACTCAAATATTAAGTCCAAAGGTCATTAATATTATTTAAAGCATTACTTGAGTCTCTAAGAGATTCTTTTTTTTTTTTTTTTTTTGAGATGGTCTCACTCTGTTGCCCAGGCTGGATTGGAGTTCAGTGGCACAATCTTGGCTCACTGCAACCTCCACCTCCCTGGCTCAAGCAATTCTCATGCCTGGGATTACAGGTGTGTACCACCATGCCTGGCTAATTTTTTGTATTTTTTATAGAGACAGAGTTTCACCATGTTTGCCAGGCTGGCATCAAACTCCTGACCTCAAGCAACCTACCTGTCTCAGCCTCCCAAAGTGCTGGGATTACAAGCATGAGCCACCACGCTTGGCCTCTAAGAGATATAATTTTTAATTTTGATGTCAGTCAAAAGATACAGGGTGTGAGGAGAGAAACCATAGCTAATCCATTTATCTGGTTCAAAAGTGGACTCTTATTTGCTACAGAAAATAGTTTAAACTAGAAGAAAAGTTGTGGTACAGAAATAAAATTTTTATGACACTTTCCCCCTGAAATTACAAAGTTACACATAAAAATATTTTAAAATAGTTAAACCACTAACCCTAATACATCAAATGAAAGATTTCCTCACACTGGACTGTGGCTAAAGTATTTTATTAAATTAAGTATGTAATTTGCAAATGGCTTCATAAGAAATTTTAAAAGCAAATTTATAAAACATTTTCAATTTAAAAAGTACAGAGTTAACAGCAAAATTACATTTTCTTTACAGTACAAATAAAAACATTTTTCTGATATACCGTCTGAAAATTTTATAATATATTCTCCAACTGATAGCTGCAATATTGTATTTTAATGAGAAGCCTCACAGTTAATCCAATCATTTATTAATAATAAGTTCATCATTGGACCATAAAAGTCAATTGCTCAACTTTAAGGAAAATAATGAACTTTGTCATCACATAATATGAAGTTATAAACGGCTCTTCAGGCTGTAGATATGTTCTAGCCTTGTTTCTCTATTAAATTCTGTAAAGAAGCATTAAGTAATACTGTAAACTTGAATCACATTTTAAAAATAAGCACCATGTACATACATTCTACACAAACTACTTTACCTTTTAAATGACACTTTTTGGCCACATAAACATTTAAATCTGTTTTCTTTACGTGGAAATAAAAATTAGCAATATTTAACTACTTCACAGAAAAATTACCAAACTTCACCTCATTGCACAATGCAAAAGCACTTAGAAAAAGCACTTGGAAAAAACAGCACAAGTGGTTTTTGTCTTTCTTATACATTTAGTCATTTTCTTAAATTGAGAGCAGTTAAAACATTGTCAGAGCAATTTCCTGAGTTTCAAAAGTTTCCAATTTCCAGCTCAGAAATAACCAATCTCGCTATTATACATGTCCACTTTCTAGGCATACAAAACACTTGAATTCAAAAAGAAAAGACCTAAATAAAGGATGGAAACCATCCAGAAGAGCAGTATAGCTTTTCTTCTCAAAATATACTACTCAAGATGCTTTAAAGTCAAAATTTCTACTATATAATATGTCCTATATTTAAGGGCCATAAAATTGCAAACAGTATGGAAATACTAACCAACTGAAGAAACTGCAACTTATAAATAATGTAGAGAAATATGAAGAGCCAATAAATGTTAAAAAAAAAAAAAAAAACCACTTCCATTTCGCTCATTGGAATAACAAGACAGACAGACTGAAAATACTGTTAAGTGTCTAATGTCGCCCTGGTCCAACTGGACACAGTCTGGGGTTTCCACATTAGTTCTCTTTTTCCATCTGGGAGATAATGGTAAGAGACTACTGAATGAATATAATTATTACTGAAACCTTCCAAACTATAGAAGTGCTGTACTTTTAAAATATTAAGTTTACAAAGAATCATTCTAATGAGTCATGTATTGGCACAAATATACAGATTGAGTGAGTATCCCCTACTTAAAATGCTTAGGACCAGAAGTGTTTTGGATTGCTGGGGTTTGGGGGGAGATTTTAGAACATGTGCATTATATTTACTTGTTGATCATCGCTAACCTACAAATGTAAAATCCAAAATGCTCCATGAGTATTTCCTTTGAGCATCATATCTGTGCTCGAAAAGTTTCATATTTTGAAGCATTTCAGATTTTGAATTTTCTCATTAGGGATACTCAACCTACATCAATACATGAAAACTTTAATAATCTCCAAACTATCTTTGACATACAGGATTTAGAAATGGGTAATAGAGAAATCTTTTATAATCCCCAAACTATATTTACCTCGGGCATACAGGATTTAGAAATGGGCAAAAAAAAGAAAGGAGGGATTATAAACTTTTCTTTCAAAATTATGTGTTTCTTAAACTATGCTAGATAGTGGCATGGGAGGCAATTTGGAATTAAGCAGCTTCATAAAAATATGTGATGCTCAAACTTTGCCTGTATACTTATCAACAATGATTAAGATATATGATTTATCAAAATAAGGCATAATATTAACATTGATAAAGTAAACAAGTAAACAATATAGCTTTTTTCATTTGAGTTCTGCCCACAAATACCACACCTTTACTTCTTTTGACTGCTCCTTCATTAATCATAATTATAATATTGAAATAAGTCTAGCTGAAGTGCCCAAAAGTGATGATTTTTAAAACCAGGTAAGGAAATATAAAAACACAGAGTTAGTATGCAGCTGCACACATTCCAGTAACTCCACATTTTAACAATGTTTTTCATACTTTTAAAATCATACTAATTTACACATAGGAATATCTTATTTCATTAACAATTATAGTTTTATAGTAAGTTGTTTAAAGGAATTGCTTTATTTTTAATGTATAGAACTGTTCTAGAGACTACAAAAGTGTGCTAAACTGTTGGCACTCTTTAAACAAATTATTACAAACGTAAGTGTGAACAATACTTCAATACCAGTCACTAACCATTTCTAAATAATAAACATGTATTTTTATTTTTATGGAACTAAAATTCAATGATAAGCCTCTTTATTTTAAAAGCATGCAATCATGATATATAAAAAAATGTTTTGGGGTTTTATTTTCATTGAAATGTTTGCTCTTTCGGAAAACCATTTTGTACTTCAGGATTCTTTTGGTACCAGCTCAATCCTATAATTCCTGATCTAAATTTCTTTTTTTAAGCTTAACAAAAAGCAACAAAACTGTTCGTTAAAATTATATATGTTGAAAATATTCTCCATCTCCAAAGACAAATTTAAGCCATTGTCTCATATTGGAAAATTACACTTTACCATATTATAACCTTCTTTACACAGGTCTAACTTGCATACTAACAGAATTTATTAGCTAACCAAACGACAGAAGTTAATGAAAGCTTCCTTTGAGAAAGTTGGCTCTTTTTCAAAACAAAAGTGAAAATATTTTAAATTGTAAGGATTCCTCTTATGATTATAACCAAAATATTTTTTTTTCTTTCTTTTTTTTTTTTTTTTTTTTTTGGAGATGGAGTCTTGTTCTGTCACCCAGGCTGAGTGCAGTGGTGTGATCTTGATCTCGGGTCACTGCAACCTCCACCTCCCAGGTTCAAGCAATTCTCCTGCCTCAGCCTCCCAAATAGCTGGGATTACAGGCACATGCCACCATACCCAGCTAATTTTTGTATTTTTAATACAGACTAGGTTTCACCATGTTGGCCAGGCTGGTCTCGAACTCCTGACCTCAGGTGATCCACCTACCTCAGCTTCCCAAAGTGCTGGGATTACAGACGTGGGCCACCGCACCAGGCCAATTATAACCAAAATATTTTCTACATTTGTTTAATAGAATTTTAAGCTACTGCAGTTTTAAAATTACATGCCTCAAAAATAAAATATAAGTATTTAGTACTGTCTGAAATACCACTTATACAGACAGTTCTAGAAGCATTTTGATAAGGCAGCAACATCTGGAAGATATTTAATCATTTCTTTTTCTCTGAAAACTTTTCTGTCTATAGAAAGTATGAAATTACAATATAATCTCAGACCCAACTTTCTTCCTATAAAATGCACACAGAAGAACAGAACAAAAGGTAAAAGATGAAGGTCATATACAAAGCAGAAAAAAGGGCAAAAGCATGTCTTCCTTCCTGTAGGATATGGCAAAATAAAAGCATTTTATGTGTTTAGTTTTGAAAATAAAAAAGATTCAAGTGTTTTTGTTAGATCTCCTTTTTTTCTTTACTACCCACTACTATGTCTTTTTCTTCTTTTAATACCACCCTTTGAGGGGCATGAATCATGTCTCAAAGCACTTTAAATACCTCTCACAGAAGACTTTTAGGACATTACTAAATGTCACACAACAGTTAATACGAAGGTAACCTTTTCTGAGAAACAATCAGAGCATTTTAAACTTTAAAACTGTAGCTGATAATTTTCTTACATATTTTGTAATCAATAAAATTTCTCTGTAATATTTTTAACAGGTAACATTTGCATTTGATTCAGTAAAAAAGCAAATTAAACTCGCTTGGATTTTGCAAAAACAATTTTTTTGTTTCATAACTGAATATTATTTATAATAAAACACACCTTTAGGGTAGACTTGACTGAATTACTGCAAATAAAAGTAATTTTAACCTACAAACCTTCATACTTCTAATTCAAGGACGTCTATTTTACTTTAGCATGACTTTCAAGCACCCTGGTTTAATTTCAGAGAACCTGCAGAAATGAGAAAAGAGTTATTTTAAAGATGAAAATTTCAAATTAGCTAAGGAATATACCTTGTAATCAATTCCAAGTACCTATGCTTAATATAATATTTACTACCAAAGTATTAACCCTTATTAAGTCAATATCCAAGACAAACAACTAGGTTTATGTTCCTTTTATCTACGGTCAAAACAAATACAATCTTAAAGCTGGGGGTTGCTCCTGACTTAGTAGTTAGTATAACTTAAGATTTGTCAAAACCCATGAGGCCTGAATTTTACCTTCATGAAAAAGAGTATGCTGTAGGAAGAATAAAGTTTTGGTGCATCATGAAAGCACCAAGAAGAAATCTCTGATATATCAGGTAATTCTGATTAATCTGGCCATGCAATGCTTTCAGCTCTATCCGTAAAGAATTTAAAGGAAGACTAGTCTCTAAAATAGATCATTAATCTCAACATGATAATGTTCCAGTCTAACTACTCCTTTTATAAAAATAACTCTGATGTGTCACCTGTTTTATGCTCATAACTTATGCTACCATTTTCAATAATGTAGCCAAATAACATCTTATTACATGGCATAAAATAAATATGCTACACTGAAATTGGTGGGTAGGAGTTAATGATACACATCTGCAGCAAATCTATCCATCAACAGATTTTTCATCTTTGACTTTCTTGTCATTTTCTGTTATTAAATTATCACTTAATGAAAAAGAACATTTCATGTTTGTCAACACAGGTCATTAATGGCATTTAACTTATGAAAACAAATACATTCATATTAAATGGAATATTTCTGCTAAAGTTTAAACGTACCTAAATTATAACTATATTTCAATAGAAGCCACCCAATTCCATCCAAAATCCACAAATACTTATTTCCTTTCTAAAGAAGAATAGCAAATCTTAAAATATGATACATATTACCTAATTATTTTGCATATTATCAAATAAACATATTTTCTTTTAGAACTTTAAATTTATGAAAGTTTTATCAGATGATTATCGGCCACAAACACATTTTTCCTTATTTCTGGTTTACCAGACAACATAAATCCAGCAGGGAAAGTTATATCATAATTTAAGCATGAATCTGTGGCTGAAATCAGATGATTAAATTTCGTTAACTATTTTAACAGATTGTTCTGAGTATGCTATTAGTGTTTATTTACCTAGCTATATGAGGGCTACTGCTATTATCAAAAACAGAAATCTATACTCGCAGAAATCTCTGATATAGCTCTATATGGGCAGTTGCCATTATCAATAACAGAAATCTACACTCACCTGAAGCTATGGCTTATGAGGTACTTAATGACAGCTGGTTTGATGCGAGCAACTCCTCCCTGGCTGTGGTTTCCTCTCCCCGTAATCACAGACAAATAAGGCTTCCCACCATTCTGCTTAAATTCTGTTACAACAGAAATTAGGGGAGTTAAAATTCATTTATCTTACATTCTCAGTAGAAAATGTAAACCTTAGCTACTCAAGTACATGAAATTGTTTCCAAGAGGATTTTGGGGTTTGCCATCTCAAAACAGTAAGATAGATTTGCTATCTCAAAAAGCCCCCAAATTAATGTGTTTTAAAACACATAGCCTCATTGTAATCTATCCATCAAAAGATTTAAGTGGGACTTCTTCCTTTATGGGGAAAGAGATTTCTGTCCCTGAAATAGTGATAATGGCAATAATAACATTAATGATACCTAATAATTACTACACAAAAGGAGTCAAATACTGCTTTAAGTGGCTTATATTTATTAACTAAGAATCTTTACAACAACCTTGTTAATTAAATATTCTAAAGCCATCAAGCTTTGTTCTGAATCATAGCTCTGCCACTAAATGACTGTGTGAACATGGACAAGTTACTTAAGTTTCTTTTGTACCTATTTTCTCATCAGGAAAAAGGGATAATGATGGCAACTAGTTTATAGATTATCTTCCAGTAATAGCTATTAGCAAATCCACTAATCACAGCTAGATTGCAGTCTTACTGTTAAAGATAATCAATTGTTAACAAACTTTTTCTAATAGATAGTTCTTAAAACATCAAAGGAGTCACAGCCTCCTAAAATACTGCAGTTCCACTTTGGAAATGACCTTGTGAAAATCAAGGATATAAATCCTGAAAACTAATAAAAGCTGTAGCAGAATAACAACAACAACAAAAAAACTATCAATGAGATGAATTAATAAATTGAAAATACACACACACAATATAAACATTCCATGATCTGCTTATTAAATTGTCCTAATACGCCAATAGAATACAAACAAATGGTTTTTCAAGTATCAAATCTCCAAGATGGTATCAGCCTGGAATTTTAAAAGAATATGTTGCTCTTGCATTTCTAATTCCTTGTCTGTTTATGATCCCCATCTCTAATCCATATCCATTACTTCAAGCAATATGTTGTTCAAAATTCAACTGAGTGCTAGTTTCACAAAGGTATTCACAGTGCACAAAATTCTAGGTATATCGTATAAAACCTTTTTACGAGCTTTTTACAAAGTTTTTGCACTATATACCTATAGTTTTGGACACTGTTCTTTACGAATGTTATATTACATATAAAAGTTTACTTTGGCCAGGCACAGTGGCTCACGCCAGTAATCTCAGCACTTTGGGAGACTAAGGTGGACCACTTGAGCTCAGGAGTTCAAGACCAGCCTGGGCAACATGACAAAACCCCATCTCTACTAAAAATATAAAAATTAACAGGGCATGGTGGCATGCACCTGCAGTCCCAGCTACTTGGGAAGCTGAGTTAGAAGGATGGGTTGCACCTGGGAGGTGGAGGTTGCAGTGAACCAAGGTCACAACCAACTGCACTCCAGCCTGGGCAACAGAGCCAGACTCCCATCTCAAAAAGAAAAACTTTACTTACAGAAAAAGCCCAACTAAATCTCTAACCATAACTCATGCTCTTCACTATGGCTCCCCTTATCACTTAGGTCAATCATTTCTACCATTATCACCTGCTAATAGTTCATTTATTGCTATGAAAATATTCTCTAGTTGACTCACATGCCTCAGGTAAGAGTTCAAAAGATGTTTGTTGCATGAATTAATGTATATGTTTAGTTTCCCAAATACAGGCTGTTCTTGCTGTTTAACACCTTTGAAAAAACTGTTTAACTCATCTTTCAGCACACTCCAGATTTATTTCAACTGCAAATATTTCAGTACGTACCTCATAAAAGATAAGGACTCCTTTAAAAAGTGTAACTATAATGGCACCATCATATCTTATAAAATTAATAAAAGTCCCTTAATATCATTAATTTCCAAAAATTTCCCCCAATTATCTCAAAAATATGTTTTTACAGTGATTTGTTGGCATCAAGATTTGAAATAAGTCTATACATTCTATTTGATATATTTCTTAAGTAACAAAGTTTCCCCTCCCCTGGTGTTTTTCTTTACAGTTTATTGAAAAAAATTGGATCATTTATCCTAGACTTCCTTTTTTTTTGTTTTGTTTTTTTCTGAGACGGAGTCTCACTCTGTTGCCCAGGATGAAGTGTAGTGGGATGATCTCGGTTCACTGAAGCCTGTAACTCCTGGGTTCAAACGATTCTTCTGCCTCAGTTTCCTAAGTGGCTGAGATTACAGGCCTGAGACATCAGGCCCAGCTAATATTTTTGGATTATTAATGGAGACGGGGTTTCACCATGTTGGCCAGGCTGGTCTCAAACTCCTGACCTCAAGTGATCTGACTGCCTCAGCCTTCCAAAGTGCTGGAATTACAGGCATGAGCCATCACACCCAGCCTGTCCTAGATTTTCACAATCTGGATTTTGCTGAATGTATCCCCATGGTGTTGTTTAACACGTTCCTCTGTCCCCTGTAAATCCTTGTAAAACAGTAGTCAGTTCTAAAGGTTTGATCTGCTCCTCATTTGATTTGGGGGCAAAAATGATTCATAGGTAGCAGTGCATATTTCAATCAGAAGGGACATAAGGTCCAGATGTCTCTCTTTTTAAAAAAATTCATCTCCGATTTTAACATTCCTTAATCTTAAGACAAAAAGTAATGCAGGTCAGAGCCACAAATCTTCCACTGGATTCATTTCTATTCAACAATACTGCCACCAGGTGGTGACTGACAGTAACTACAGGTTACCACGGGTGGAAGCATGCACTAGAGATGGGCCTTGGCCTCCAGAAAGGATCTGCATCTTGGATCTGACCAAGTGTTACCTTGAGGCAAATTATTAATTCTTTTTTAATTCTTACAATTTTTTAAATTGAGATAAAATTAACATAAAACTAACCATTTTAAAATATGCAATTAAGTGGTTTTTAGCATATTCATCATGTTGTGCAACCACCACCACTAATTCCAGAACATTCCATGATTTCACAAAGAAATTCTGTGCCTCGTAGCAGTCACTGCCCATATTCTCACCATTCCAGTCCCAGCAACCACTAATCTAATTTTTGTCTCTCTAGATTTACATACTCAGAACATTTGGTAAAAATGAAATCATACAACATACGGCTTTTTATCTGCCCTCATCTTTCACAAGGAATAATGTTTACAAGGTCCATCCATGCTGTAGCATTTATCAGTACTTCATTTCTCCACATGGCTAAATTAAATTTCATTGTATGGATTTACCACATTTTGTTTCTCTATTCAACAGTTAATGAACTTTTAGGTTACTATCACTTTTTGGCTGTTGCAGACATTCATATTCAAGTTTCTGTAAAGACATATTGTGTTTTTAATTCTCTTGGGTACATACTTAGGGGCAGAATTACTGGGTCATATGGTTAATTATATGTTTAACCTTTCAAACAACTAGTGAAATTTTCCACAGTGGCTACACTAGCAATATATGAGGGCTCCAGTTTATCCACGTACTTAACAATACTGACTACTTTCCATTTCATTTTTTAATTTTTCAATTTTTTTTTTTTTTTTTTTTTTTTAGAGAGTCTCACTCTGTCATCCAGGCTGGAGTGAAACAACCTAATTGTCCATCAATGGATAAATTGATTTAAAAAATGTGATACAGACACAATGGAATATTATTCAACAATAAAAAGGGGACCAGGCACAGCGGCTCAGGCCAGGCGTGGTGGCTCACATCCGTAATCTCAGCACTTTGGAAGGCCAAGGCGGGAGGATCACTTGAGCCCAGGAGTTCGAGACCAGTTTAGGCAACACATTGAGACCTCCTATTTCTTTTAAATAAAAATTAATAAAAATTTAATTTAAAAAATTTTTTAAAGGGGAAAATCCTGCCATTTGCAACAATACAGATGTGGCTGGAGGGCATTATACTAAGTGAAATAAGCCAGACACAGAAAGACAAATCTGTATGATCTCACTTACATGTGGAACCTAAAAAAGCCAAACACATAGAAACAAAATAGAATGGTAGTTGCCAGGGACCAGAATAGACAGGAGGAAATGAAATGCTGGTCAAAGGGTACAAGCTTTCAGTTCTAAAAAGAATACATTCTGCTGAGTTAATGTGTGGCATGGTAATTATATTTAATAGCACTATATCATATACTTGAAATTTGCTATGAGAGTAAGTCATAAGTGTTCTCATCCCACACAAACAAAATGGTAACAATAATAGGTGATGTATGTGCTAAAGCACTTCATTGTGGTAATCACTTCACAATGTGTACATTTATCAAATCATCACATTGCATACTTTCAATATAAACAATCTTATTTGTCAAAAAAAAAAATGAGAGTAATACCTACCATTATTTAGTCATTTATTCAAAAACTTTTTGAGTGTTGAAGAAAAAACATGATCATCACTGGCTCAATTCTTGGCCAAAAAGACAGACATTTAATAACCACTTATACAATAAGCTTTTTATAAACATTGTGAGAGGCAGGAGTACTGTCAGAAGTTATGAACAGGGAGTCTAACTAGTACGGGGGTCAAGACTGACAGTGTAGTTAAATACACAGAAAAGGAGGAAAAAACACAGGATGAGACTGGAGAGGTAAGCAAGAGACATTACGTAGGGATTTTAGAATTTATTCTAAATACAACTTGTATTTTCTTATTTTATTTATTCATTTATTTATTTGTTTAGAGAAAGAGTCTCACTCTGTTGCCCAGGCTGGAGGGCAGGGGTCCGATCTCGGCTCACTGCAACCTCTGCCTACAGAGTAATTCTCCCTGCCTCAGCCTCCCAAGTGGCTGGGATTACAGGTGCATGCTACCATGCCTGGATAATTTTTGTATTTTTAGTAGAGATGGAGTTTCACCATGTTGGCCAGGCTGGTCTCAAACTCCAGACCTCAGATGATCCACCTGCCTCGGCCTCCCAAGTGTTGGGATTACAGGCGTGAGCCACCGAGCCCGGCCACAACTTGTATTTTCTTATCACAATGCTAATTACTTATGTAACTATTTGGTCACTGTTCTCTACCCTACTAGATGGTATACCCCACTAGACAATAAACTCCAATAAAGACAAGGACTGTGTGTCTTTTTCACTACCTTATCCTTGATGCCTAGAATACAGAAGATAATCAAATATTCATTGAGCAAAACACGATTAATTCAACCTCTATAGAGAGAATATTCTCTCACGACACTTCTATATATTTGAAGAGTTTTCTTCTCTCTGGACTAAATAATAATGCATTTAAACGGTTCTTAAAGTTCCTCTTTTCTAATCTTTATTGTTTTCTAGATTTTCTCCAAGATTTCTAAAATTCAACTTAAAAACTACTGGGGTCAGGCTGAGCGTGGTGGCTCACACTTGTAATCCCAGCACTTTGGGAGGCCAAGGCGGGTGGATCACCAGGTCAGGAGATTGACACCATCCTGGCTAACATGGTGAAACCCCGACTCTACTAAAAATACAAAAAAATTAGCCGGGCGTGGTGG